GATGGTGCGGGCTCTCTCAGGCTTGAGACGGGTCTTTCCAAGAATGGGGTAGTAGTACGCGGCCCTTTGCCTTGAGTCGAGACCGTCGCGCTTTCCATCCTTCACCTCCTCCGGGTCAAATAGCGTCAACGCGATGTCCTTCTGCTTCTGATCGTTGCCCAAGGTCTGAGCGCTCGTAGCGTAGGTGCGGACACGGTCGAAGCGGTGGAACTTGGTATTGTCGGCTCCGTCGTGAGTGTACAGCGCTTCATTATCGCGGTCCGGGTTGGTGATGCGCAGACTTGCCGAAACATTCTTGGCTGCATCCTTCTTCTCAGGCAGATAGAGATCGTAATCCCATGGGATAGGACCTGGGTCAGGGTACAGGTTGGGGTTCGTCTTATACAAGGCCGCCTTCGTGTTGTGCTCTTGGCAAACGCGTTCCTCCGGTGCCGATGGAAGCAGTATAGCCACATCCATGCGCTTGTCTCTCTTCCCTGAAACATCCTGAACAGGCGCCTTGTCAAACTTGAATTGGACAAAACCACCCGGGTCCGGGAATCCTTCCAGATCGGGGAGGAGCGGATAGAATCCGACAGGCTTCAGCTTAGGGTTATCAGGGTGCACTGGGTGGGCCCATGCATCGTGTTCAAGCTTTGTAGGAGTGTGGCCTTTAATCTTGCTAGCTGTATCTTCACCGACGTGCTTGCTGTGAGGATACGCAATATCGAAACCTTTCTGGAGATATTTCTTGATGTAGGTCGGGTCATCCTGCGACTTGGTCTTGTCCATCCCGCGCTTCGTCCGGATGGGAGCGACCTTGGGGCCATCAGGCGCCCGAAGACCGGCGGAAATATACTGCGTACGGCGAAGGAAACTGACGTTGGTATTCTTCGGTGCCGGGTTCTTCAGCTGCTCCGGCGTCATCAGAAGCGCCAAATCAGCCTGGTCAATGGGTTCCGGGTTCTCAGGGGCCATAATCGCTGAATTTCCAACAATTGTCAGCCGCCAATTCAATTAAGATCAGATCATGCAAGCCGAAATACATACCGCTCTCATCACCCAAGTGAAGCCCGGGAATACCGACCAAGTCGATTGGCATACCACCTTCCGCGTCAACATCAATGTTAGGTTCCTCGCGACGAGCCAAATTGGAGGCAAATCCCGGGGTCAAGAAACGGTCCAAGCCCTCATGTGGGATATCGAGGAACTTCGGGGGCATATCCGGAGGCGGCAGGTCATTTCGGTAGCGGAGAGAAGCAATGTACTCCTGGTGAAAGCCCCCGGAGGAGCCGCTGTCCTTGGATTTCGACATGCTCGCTCGGAACTCGGAGAGCACCAATTCCTTTGGTTCAGCGTCGTCAGAGGAAGGTGAACTGTACACTGTAACACACTTTAGTGGAGCTCCCAACTTGCGCGTGCGGCGACAGCTCGTTGAAACTTACGTGGCTCTGGGAGGGTAAGCGGGGGAATCTCAGAGGTAGGCACAAGATAACCAGGAGTTCTCCGGGGCCGACGAGTCACTATAAACTCCCTGGGAGCTTAAGGAGGCGATAACGCAGTCAGTGAGCACCGACAAACAGTATGCACGGTTGCGAGCATCGAGATGCAGGATAAACTTACATGGGGGTGGCCGGCTCATTTCTGCAGTATTTTACCGCCTGACTAGCAAAGTTAGCGTGAGTCAACGTGAATGAAGGTTCGGAGAAAGGATGCTCCGAGCATGCAGGCAGTTATAGTTGGATTGCAGTCTGAAAGGAAGTTGGCGTGAATATTGTATCATACTACAGAATGTTCCATTCACTTGTCATTATTCGTATTTGATGCCTGTAACTCTAGGCTGCAGGATATGGGTGGATCAAAACAGAAAGCTAGCTTGAAATTCAATAGAGTTACAAAATTGTGTCAGTGTTCCCGTGTCATACCAACACCACCTTTCAGATCAGGAATCGCCAGAGCCCTCTGGGAAAGGCAGAAGATCAGTAAGCCCACATGCACTTGTATGCCATGAGCCTATGTCCCAGTCGGTCGTATTCCAGCTGGCCGATCCAGCTATCATTCGTTCCGCTTAACTTGCCGAAGACACTCGCTCCCTTCCAGACAACAACTTGCGGATCAAGGTCTCGCGGCGGTGTGCCAATCATGATCTCCTTAGCGAAAGCTGGTCGCAGAGCCTGCAGACGCTCCTCTAGGAACGAGTGGAATCCATTGACCAAGCTTCCACCTCCAACCACCATGATACCGCCGAGGAAGTCTCGCATTTTACGCTCATCCGATCGAGCTGCCTGAGCGATAGAGGTCAAGATCGCATTGTCCAGAGGGTATACGGGGAGAATGTCGTCCCTCTCTTCAACAGTGGGCCCACGGGGCTGCGACGTGCTCTGGCCTTGCCCGCTCGGGGCAGGGGTAGCAGCGCCGGCCTGAGGTGTACCGACTGCTTCCGGCGCAGGGGAGCCAGCGACTGAAGATCGTGGAGTTGCTTCAAGCTCTTGCACGCGACTAAGGGCATTGAACTGCTGGGCCCGGCTGGGGGTAGCCTGAACGTCCACGTTGTTCGACTGCGCATCGCCGTTCACCTGGCCGTTAGTGGGAGGGGGAGCGATGCTGGAAAGAATAAGTGATTGGGCGGCTGATGTCGGGTCATTAGGCTGTCCGTCGTAGATATCCACCGAGCGGGCAATCAGCTTTCTGCGTCCCTTGAGCTTCTGCGAGTGATCGAAAATGGTCGGCTGGAAGTAGCCCATCGGCGCCAGATGAACCTCGTCGTAAGCCTTGAAAGAGTACTTCCGGGTATCCTGACCAGCAACGCGGAGATGGAAATCGAAAACTTGCACCGATACACTCGCTTCATTCATGGTGCAAACGTTCCTTTTCAGCTCTTCTGCCAACAGGTAGTCGTATCGGCGCCAGAGGTTGATATCGGAGTAGGGGAAGTTGTCGTAAAGCATCATTTTTATGAACACTTCAGTGATATCCAACCCGCCATACTTCAGGTTCACGCGAGAGTTCTCCACGCACATGCCTTCCTCGACGCAGCATATGGATGTCTTCTGGGCGCCAATGTCGACGACGCAAGCCGAGGTGAATCCGGCGCCGAACGTAGCTGCTAGACTTTCCTGGATGAAGCAGACTCGTGCAAAGGCAAACTCTCTCATGAGCAACTCGAGTACTTGGGTGACATAAGACTTTTCGTAGATATCAGGGATAACGAAGACGCAGGAGTACTGAGGCCAATCCTTCTTGCTGGTGAGTCCCAGTTGGGTCTTGAAAGCATCCTCCAAGATGAGGGAGATGTCAAGGAAGAGAAGCCGCTTATTATCATAATCTCGCTCATTGCACCAGCCATGCCTTATTGGCCAGTAAAGCTTATAGCGAGGCTTCGAATCATCGGGTATCCTCAGGGCCGCTTGTCCCACAATGTATTCGGGTGCCGGGTCAGGGATCTCGGTCCATTCCACGCGCATGGGATCGTTGTGTTCTGAAATAGTCTCTGGCACGGTCCTCCGGTTGAAGTTGACGACCATTTCCTTGGAGTTTGGCAGTGTTCGACGCTTGTTCTGTCGCATGTGGGTTTTGAGCTCCGCTGACATCGTCGTATACTGGGAAGCAAACTGTGACGGGTTAGAAGCCAAGACAATGAGCTAGAGTAGGCGAGAAACAAACCTCAGGGCCAAACATCTTCTCCGGGTCCATGGTTGAGCCATCGTCCAGTTTCAGCCGCTTGGGACAAGGTTCCTCTTGGTCTTCGGACTCGCTGGAAGCAGCCTTCCGCGCAATCACCATTGGCACAGTCTTAGGCAAAGCATCACTGGCCAATCCAATTCGCAGGTTTTGACTACCCACGTGGATAACAATAACCTTCGAGCCTACTGTTTCCGTAGCAGTGTCCTCCGCATCTTCCATGTTGGTATCGCCATCTTCCGCATCTGCTTCTGGCAGCCCTAGGTCGTTGGCCTTTGCCATGGCTAGGGCACGATCGCGGTCCTTGGCCGTTTTTGCCATCCGATTTCGATTCTCCTCATTCTGTAGTCTGAACGCCAGATACTGGTCATCGCGCTTCAGATAGTCTCTATGAAGGAAATGATTGTCAGCGTTGAAGGTGGGCGGATAGAGAGCGCAAGCAGAGTAGTCACACAACTGCGTATCGAAGATGGAGGTATAGCGACGTACGTGTAGTAGTTCTTCTGGTTGATTGGAGGAATCTGAGGCCAGCTGGAGAGTTCCATATTGTTATCGGTCCGCTCCAGGCCTGAGCAGGTGTGTTAGCAGAGAAGGTATGATCGATAATTGGACCACTGAGCACGTACCTTCATCCCGAAGGAGAGCCTTTCCCGACTTCTTGCCGACCATGGCTGTTGCTAGACCGGCAGCCGGTAATCTCTGAGTAGGGTGTGAGTGAGAGAAAGTTGACCGGGTCAAATCGCGAGCGGATCGCGAAGGATGTCGGAAGGAGTCGATTCGGATTCAAATAAGGTGCATCCCAACGGTGAGGTGGCGCGTGGGGGGAAGAGGTGAAGAGGGATGGTGGAGCGAAAGGTGTCGTGGCTGGGAGCAGGGGAAGGAGAGGCAGGAATCCGACGACAATGTGAATGATGGGAAACCAACACCGGCGAGCGAGCGGTAGTGAACCGCATCCCCATCCAAGCCCATCCTTAGTTGATTTGAGCTTGGGCCAGGCCGATCGGCAGGAGACCGCGGGCCAATGATGGCCTCCTACCATCCCTCCATGCCATTTAGTCAGCTCTTGATCGTGGCCTTGTCTCGTGTCAAGCTGTGTTTTATTCAGTTCCGTTAAATCGACCCTTCGTTGACCTGCTACATCTCCTCACATCCACCTTGGCAGGTGCTCTCTGCTCGGAGCGAGTCCTTTTCGTGTTCGCCGCATCCTCTCCGCCACCGCTCGTCGCCCGACCCTCCCTCCGCAATATCTCTCGCTAGTCCGTCATTCTCTTGTCCAACTCCGCGGCCCCCCTCTCTGTCCAAGTCTTACTCTGCTCCTGTCGCTGTTAAAATTTGTCAACATGGGAGGCTCCTTGTCTCGTATGTGGTCCTTCCTCTGGACGAAGAAGGAGATTCGCATCCTCATCCTCGGTTTGGTAGGTATATCCATGTTTTGGCACTAGGCATCCAGCTACTAGCGAGCTTCATACTAACCCGCGCTCCCATCTCTAGGATAACGCCGGAAAAACAACCCTTCTATACAGACTCAAGGTGCGTATAGTCTTGCAGAGCTGCTCGACTGTTAGCTAGAGGCCGTTATTGATGTGCCAGGAATAGATTGGTGAAGTTGTTACTACGATACCAACCATTGGTTTCAACGTGGAATCGGTGACGTATCGCAACCTGAATTTCAATGTCTGGGTGAGTAAACGCTACTTTTTATCATGGATGCCTTTTGGCAAGGAGAGAGAGAGTAACTGAGGTTACTGACGTACCGCTGTCATCCAGGATCTCGGAGGTCAAACATCCATTCGGCCCTACTGGCGCTGCTACTATGCGAACACCGCTGCTGTCATATTCGTCATTGATTCCACAGATATTGAACGTCTCAGTACGGCTGCCGACGAACTAGCGGCCATGCTGAATGAGGAGGAGCTTAGTGATGCGGCGCTGTTGGTATTTGCCAATAAGCAGGACCAGCCTGGCGCCAAAGGCGCCGGCGAGATATCAGAGGCTCTCAAGCTGGGAGAGCTACGGGATAGAAACTGGAGCATCGTCGCATGCTCTGCTATCGACGGTAAAGGTCTTAACGAAGGCATGGATTGGCTGGTGGTATGTGCAACCTCAAGCTCCTTACACTTCACTTTGGATAAATGCTGACCAATTATCTACAGCAAACTCTACAGTCTGAAAATGCATGAGCGACGGTGTTATTGTACCATCTCATAGATTTCTTCGGATATATGTTCTCGTTTCCAGGTGGTAGGGATCGGCTGCTTCCTGAACGCTTTCTCGTTCTTCCTTGGTGTCTTTCACTTATCCCCACTTTTACATCCTCTTTTCTCTTGCAACTCTGTTCAGGGCTCATGTCGTTTATACAGTATACCTTTTTGATATCGAAACCTTCACACTTAGTATAATATCATAATTATTTGAAATGACTGGATGTATTCTACATCAATGATTTACGCCGCTCTTATTCTATGATTAGGTTGAAGTTGCAGGATTCCTCCAACTTTGGTGCATAGATGTGAAGACTTTAGCCAAAGGATATTAAGAGATGTTCCCAGGTGTATATCGAAAGTATCATTTAAGCGGTATCTGAAACAGAAGAAGTTTGATTATATTTTGGTCTTCCAATCATATGGGCACTCTGATCTGTCTCCATGATTAGCTCGTAGACATCATTTTCACGACTGATCCGTTTGAACAAAAAATGAGCCATGAAGAACGCCCAGCCAAGCATGATTTTAATGTATCGCAAAGCAACTGGCGGAAAGTAGATAGCAACACTCCAATCTCCAATATCTAATCTCCTTATCAACTCCGAGCCTATCGCTCACCAGGCTATCAGTCCCGATAGTATTTAACTATAGGTTCTGATTAGCCTCCGGATAGATAATCTTGCACGATGAGGAGATAAACATTCATACCTGTGAGTCCTATCTGATTTGCACATAAAGGAAGTCAGACTCCTCGGATGCGAACCAGCACCACGCCTTCAGTGTCTTGGTCTATAACGGTCCCTTGAGGTTAATCTTGTGTATCCAAAGCAGTATATTTACCCCGCAACATCCCACCAGCTTTGCTCCGCATCTCCGCAACCACTTCACTTACTACTACATACAACATGGCTATTCCTCAAACCCAAATCGCTGCTGTTCTCCCACCTTCTGGGGCAAATGCCACTTCCAGATTACAGATTATAAATGACCGTTCGATTCCTGTACCTACTGAGGGAGAGGTCCTAGTCAAGCTCGAGTACTCCGGCGTATGCCATTCGGATGTCCACAGCGTGCGCGGGGAAACCCCCATGTTGACGGATGTAGCGGGTCATGAAGGAGTGGGAAAGGTGGTGAAAGGTAAGTGTCTCATGCAATTGCCTCGGTAGCATTTGTCCATACCTGACCTGTTATGCGCGTAGTGGGCAGTGGTCTCGACGAGCAAACGTGGATGGGACGAAGAGTTGGAATACGGTTCGTACGGCGATTGATATACAGAGACGGATCTTAATTGAGGGTTTATGCAGATGGCTCTATAGCTCCTGTTTGGCGTGTGAGATTTGCGCTATCAATAATACGGCGTGTCCTTACCAGAAGAATGCTGGAGCGGTAGGAAGATACTGTTAGGCCTTATTAGTGTGGTTATGCTAATTAGGTGCAGAATGTCCCAGGAACATTTCAACGTGAGTGTCCTTAATGTTTCGGCTCTAAACCTATTTGCTGACCAGTGTTTGGATTTCAGAATACGTCGTCAGTCCTGCGATTCATGCAACTATAATCCCTCCTGAGCTAGCACCGGACGTAGCTGCACCACTCTTGTGCGGTGTGTACAACTGGTCGCCTGGTATCTCGAAATATCTAAGCTAATCTCACCGCAGCGGGCATCGCTATGTACTCCTCGATCATGAAGACCAAAACTCGACCCGGAGATTGGATTGTGCTTCCTGGAGCAGGTGGAGGCCTAGGACATATGTATGTGCATCTGCAGGTGTTTCTTTCCCGGCAGATAAAGCTGACGGCATATAAGGGGTGTTCAGATTGCTGCTAAGAAGGGACTCAAAGTCATTGCAATTGACAGGTATGGTGCTACTATTATCGCATTGTCTTGTAGCTTACCCAGCGTAGCGGCGAGAAGAAAAAGCAGCTGTGCCTCTCCCTAGGAGCCCACGCCTTCCTAGACTACAAAACAGACGACGTAGAGCGTGAGGTAAAGACTCTGACCTCAGGGCTAGGTGCGCATGCTGTCATCTGCACAGCCAATAACGAGCCAGCATACACGCAGAGTATGAAAATGCTTCGCAGCTTGGGTGTTTTGGTATGCGTCGGTATACCGAGTGTGCCGTTTAGGTTACCGGCGACGCCATTTGAGATGATTGTGAAAGGTGATCTATCTTTGTCACTGTCTTCTTCCAGCTCAATTAATCACGATCAGATGCTGACATGAAACAGGACTAACAATTGTTGGCAACTCCGCCGGAACCGCCAAGGAGATGGAAGAGTTGATGGAGATGGCTGTAAGAGGCGATGTGACAGCACATATTGAGTGCTTTGAGTTCGACTGCATCGATGATGTCCTGCAGCGACTGGGGCGATCTGAGATCGAGGGACGGGCTGTTGTGCGCATTCCTGAGTAAACCGGAGTCTTTGCTCATTATCATCACATGCAGATAATCTGATGACAAGCCACGTTCAGTACGACGTACAGTACATCTACATAGTTATGTTTATATCCGAGCCATAGCAACAAACTGTCGGCCCTGACGATGATTATTAGCCGTTGGCTTTCGTGATCTATTGACTCAGGTGATGTGTTGCGTGGTGATGTACGGAGTAATCAGGGCAGTTTGAGATGGGGCCAAATAGCCAACAGGGGGCGACTTATAACGTTCTAAACATTTCATTTCTGCTATTTCAGTCATAAATCACGAGACAGTCTTTAAGCTTCTAAATAGCTGACCAGAACTCTCCCTTAACAATACCATACACATATACCCAGGAATACGAGTTTTAATACGAGGCATCCTAATGCCCCTCGCTGATAAAGTCGCCACCAGCACCTACACTATTTGAACTTCACCTTCAGGAAGATCGGACTTGAGTGAAGGAACCCCTTAGCTTGTCTATTTTAGATCATATTCATCGACACAATGAGTTCGATATTTTGTTGCCCCTCTATCAATCCGTACCGCCCACAGAAGCTCGATCACGAGGACAAATTCGAGGCATTCATGCAGTGGACCAAGCTTGAATCCTCTCCCACTCTGGACTTGGCCTCAGTAGGGGCCGACACCGTGCCTTATGCAGTTCAGCTTGTGAGGCAGGTCAACTTTGGGCCACAGGAGTCCATCAGATATTTCGCGCCAGCGGGAACTGGCTCCCAGTTCGTGGAAGTTGCCGAAGGAGATTTAATTGATTGGAACTTCGAAAAACTGAATTCGTACGTGATGACGATCAAAAGTTCATACAAGATATCGTTAAGATCATAAAGGTACAAGAACTTCAGATGTGAAAAACACAACAAGTTTTATGAAGTCAATCTTTACCAGAGGAATCCTACTATTTCGCATCATTGGCGCGTCAACCTCGCACGACCATCCCGAGATATTGATCTAGCCCTTCGAACGAAAGAGCATCAAATGAAGGAAATAAGAGTAGGGATCGAGAGCTCGGAATATAAGGCCGATTTAAGCCAAGGCGAAGCATCTGTTCAAAAACAACATGACCCTATAGCAAGATCACTTGAGGTCAGCCATCTCAGCTAACAGGGCATATCAGATCATTGAAAAGGTTTTAGGAAATCCCTGCAAAGGGAACAGATTCAAAGTCTCCTGAAATGAATCCTCCAGCTGCCGATCCAGATAATTTGGCTTTGAAGAGTGTGCTGAGGTTCCTACTTCCGCCAGACCGAATATCCCTTAGGTCGAACCATCTCCTATCCCTACTATGCCTTGACTGGCTCAATCAAAAGTTTGATCTTGGGCTTGAGCTTGAATCCTCTTGGACTTCTGGACTTACCAGTTCCAACATGATCGTATTCCTCTGTGGTTGTTTCGACTCTTCTGTCGACGATGAAGTCAATGTCGCGGAAGTAGAAGCCTTAGTTATACCTGCAATGAAAGAAAGTAAGCTAACTACGAGACAAAGGGTTTCAGGTCGGGACAAATTGAAGCAGATTGTGACTAGGATTCTTGATTATGGTATTGGGGTTGACTGGGTAACAAAGCACGGTTGTCATGTCCGAAGAGTCTTGGATTCTTTCCCCAGTGCAGACTTTCTTGAGGAATCATTGCGTGCGAATGAGAAATATGAAGGCGGCTGGAGTCATCAGGATACTAGCGTGATACAGAGTGCTCTTAATGAAGAGGTAATGCGCCTAAACCGTTATTTGACACTTGCTAACTAAGACAGCCTGACGAGGAGTCTTCGGTATGGTCAAGTCCTCGTGACACTTATTACCCGCAGCATGAGATTTACGATTATGGATATGGCTCCGAGTCCCCAAAAGACTTCACAGCTTGCGATAAAGAATGCGGGTACTGTGGTCATTGCGACTATTGAGCATGGATACTTGCAGTTTATTTTCATTTGATACAAAACATTGCCGTGAGATTGTGAGGGCGTGGGAGCAAATAGGGGGAATTTCTGGGCGTACTGAAAAAGTTCTTGTTGGAAGGAATCTGCAACCCTCAAAGTTGGTAAATGTTTAAAAATCGGACAGTATGGTTGCAAGAAAAGCTTGATCATCGAGAATGCTACACCCAAAGGGCAATTATCGCTAATCTACTAATGCATTTTTCCTAGTATGTGCCTTGTCTCCTTCAAGCCCAGACCTAGTTGCTTTTAGTATATGTCATTTCATTTGTCAGTATCATAGCGCATTCTCATGGGTTAGTATTCTGCTGGCTGGAAGATGTTTCTTTAAGTTTTCAACACTCTATCTTCGACAATTGAAGTGCATCTATCCTGTGGGCCACGAGGTGGTTAGTGGGAGTTAGAGCAGGAAAAGTGAGTATTTGATGTTCGTCTATAGAGTTACGCAGCATCAAGTCGGCCCATGGCGATTGAGCACTATATACTGCTTATAAGTTTGCAGTCCAGTCGTGATCATCTAATGGGGAAATTTCTTGCAGGAAGATGGATATGTTGCTTTAGTGGGTGCTAGTGCATTGCAGCATTTCGGCCTGGTGACCGGTGCAGAAGATACTCTTGATACTCTATGAGACTCCACTGCGAACTATAACATTGAATGACTTTTCAAAACTTTGATGTCCAAATCACCAACCAGAGACCAGACTGATCCGATCAGAATGCTTGCCGTTTTAGGCAGGTGTGCATTGAGTAACGATAGCTTTGGCTTAACGTCCTGCATTACGTACTTCACCCTCGTCTTCGCTGTCAGACATACCTTCCATGATCCATTGCATGTCGATACCTCTAGCCTCACATTCCCGCCTCAACCTTTCTGTATCCGCATATTCTCTGTCGGCTTCTTCTTTTACGAGAGCCATATTCAATCCCGCTGCTGCCCCACCCACTGTCGTTCCATCCGGTATCGTTTCATCACCTGATGCAGTCCATATCAGAGACCTGTCCCTGAGTTTCAAACTCTTCAGGTCAGGAAATAAGCTTCGATCCTGAGCAACCATCAAGAGTTCCGCCAGCAGACCACTATTATCGGGGAGAACGTCTTGGACAGAAAGAGTTCGAAGGGTGCTCGGAAGCCTGTCAACAAGCCGACCAATGCTAGGTTTCTTGATAGCAGCGTGCGAAAAAATTGATACGAGGTGGGCATGCCGAACAGTCAACTGCTCAAGGGCAGAGAATTCTTGGAAGGACTCAAACGGGATGTTATCCTCGCAAACAGGGATTCCCCCGCTCATGTCAAGCCAAGAATTGTACTGCTTATCATATGCCACGCTGAGAAATTTGAGGGTATCTTTGAATGGAAGAAGAGCCTGATAAAGTTCTCGAGTCTCAAAGCGTCTTTCAATCACCTCTGCGTCTGGGTGAAGTGAGGCTTCGATTGAGAAATGTTCCAGTTCTTTGCAAACTCGAAGCCACTCGAGCATTCCGGTGCACATCCGGACATCGCCCAACGAAATCTGTTTTATGGGACCAACTGAGAGGGGTGGTTCGTGAGAGTAGAGATGACACCCATCATCACTGCTATATTCAGTCGAGATCGAAGAACCTGTGATAGACTGGACATTTGGGAAATAGAGAAACGGAGTGAGGAAAGTTTCGGTTATTCCTTCATCAAGTTGGCAGTGAGCAATGACCTCTCGAAGGAAAGGAAATGATGGGGTTTCGTGAAAGGGTTGCTCTCGCTCTGCGGCTTTATATAGAATGATGATGAAAAGACCTGAGTCTTCATGTTCAAATTCAATGCGTTCTAGATGCGTCAAGCAAACAAACAAGACTCCTAACCAAGCCTCCATCTTGAATTCGAGCAGGCATTCCTCCCACTCGTCTGTGAACGCTTCACCTGGCATTAGTATCTTGCTTAGTGCTCTGGGCACGAACTTCGCAAATTCATCAATATCCTCGTCACTAGCGTCATGCACTGGTATATTTTTGTCGAAGTACCAGAACAGTTTTACGCTGCGAACCCAGTCTGCCACTTCGGGGTGATTCCAGAGAAGAATAACGAGACGGATGTGGGCGTGGGTCAGGGGGATGCCGTATCCCAGGTCAAGATGGTAATAGAGTAATGGTTCGAATATCTTGTGGAATTTCCGACAGCACCGAGTCAAAGCAAGCAAGGTCGATCTCCGTATCTTTTCGCAATTCCCATCTATGTCCAAGGCAATGAACTTCCCTATCATTCCGAGAATCTCTGTTGGTAGGTTCTCCATGGTGTTTCGATTGTAGCTGTTGTCACTGCCGCTTCTAGTATATAGTCTGACTCTGGTAGAAGCTGAGACATCGTGTCTGTTTTATATCCGCGTTTAGCTATGCAGGTGATAGGGGTGAACAAATTGCACATACCCGATGCACAGAGACAGATCCTGGTAATAACCTTCATTGCACTGTGACCCAAGATGTGACAGGCAGCAGTGCGGTGATTTCCAAGCGCATTCACTTTGAATATCGGAATGGCTGCAAGCCACAAGTTCGAAGGTATATATTCCGTCTGTTTATTCCAGCCTTGACTGGTTGTTATGGCTTGGAAGGGCCAGCCAAAGAACATTATATGATATTAGATAATGAATAACTAACATCCTGAACATGGCATACAGTAGCAGCAGACAAAAGCATTATAATGTACAGCGACTTCCCATGTCTAGGCCATGGTCTTTCCGCTTTCTACCACAATCTCCGAGATACCGTTGAGATCAATATCACCCATCTTCAACTCCATATCATCGTACTTGTCACTAGTGGAACTCAAAGTAGGGTCAAACAGAACGGGATCATCTGCTCTTGTTGACCCCACCAGCCACTCAAGTTGCGTCTTCCAGTCCGCCTTTGCCCGAATGGAGACATTGGCCTGGAACTTCCCTTCGTCTTTTCCTTTCTAGCAAGATAGCTGCTCTCATGGCAACGGCAACTTCAACCTTTAAAAATTCAATACTAAGTAAGAAATTGCATGCAGAGTCCGCCTACTGTCTAAGGAGCGTTAGAACGAAGAAAGGTGGCTTGTTACCTAGAGATCTTATCCGCCTGTAAAAGGTATGCGGTTACTTCCGCCCCTCTCCTCAACTTACTAACAATAGATTTTCCTAGGTGCATCATTAGACGCGAATCACACAACTATAGTGTGGGTAATTTCTCTATCTGCGAACCAATGAATATGGTTTGGTTTGGTAAAGGAGTAGTTTTATGCGCGCGCCTATGCAGCCCTAGCCTGACCAATGAGCGACACATAACCGAGTGTCTCACCTCCATGAACCACAAGAATAAGCAACCGTGGAATGCTAAATGTGGCGCCTGGTGGGTGCTTAAGCATCATCCTCCCGCGTCCTCGCGCTAATGGAACTGTTAAGAAAAATCCGCATGATCAGTTTGATGTACAGTTTCTTCTTCCAGACGAGTCATTATCATTCGTCTCTTCGTCTTAAGGAAATAATACAAAGGTTACTGAAATTCGGTCGAGGCCCGTTCTGCATAGACAAAAGCACTCAATAATGCGGAATCTTCACAAGCTACTAGTTTCGAGGCGGCACGGAGATGATAGGGCTTCTCGCCGCTAGCCGCCCGTGTAGATGAGAGCTAGCGATAGAGATATTTCACTGGCTGTTCAGAAGCGCCAGATATATGGGCCGCTTTTGTCTTGCAGGAGGGGCTTCCACATTATCTAAGTCTGACCAACGAATCTAGAAGAGAAGAGTTATATTTATACTATATAAGGGTACAATGATGGACCCGAAGCGCTTTGGTCCCGGAGTACAACTTCCAGCTCATCGTATTATACAGCTCTGAGATCACCCAAACAAGTTTCATCGACACCATGATCTTCAAAGAATCACTGAAGATCTTCCGAGAAGCCACACCATCCGAAACAGCCAACAAAACCGATCTTGACTTGGATTACGACGATGACGATTCTATCGAGTACGCAGTGCAGACGTCTCCAAAAGACAAGGTGCAGGCCACCTTCGACGAGATCATCACCAAAATCTGCAACAAGACCTTAGATCTAAGAAACGGGAGCTCTCGAGCTGTGTTCCTGGCCGACTATTCCCACGTCCTGGACGAGAGGACTCGGGTGGATAGACAGACCTTCCTCCATATAGCGGCGAGCAGGCTGGCACACAGCACTGCTATACGCTTCATGGTGAGGAAAAAGGGGCATCTCTTGCAATATAAGGATGCCAACGAAAGGACCCCTCTGCATGTTGCTATTGTATATGGGAACCTTGCCTTTGTGGACGCCATATTGAAGGAGATCAATGGTACGGAATTGGACATTCTTCTGCGGCAGACTTCTGAAAACGGACGGAACTGTATCCATGCTGCCATTCATCACTTTATGGACCATGATTATGCCTTGAAGCTTATTGAGGGGACGTCGAACACTACCCTTTCGGCGCGCGATAAGAATGGTCTTACCCCCTTGCATCTGGCAGTCGAGTATCACCGGTCTTCTGCCTCGCAACTGAGCCTTGTGAAGGCGCTCATCGCACGCGGAGATGCGGCTTTGGATCAGTTCACGACAGATCCGCCCGGTCTGTCCGTGTACGAGTACCACCGCTACACGCGGGAAAAAGCCCATATGGGCCATCAGGGCGCAAATGCAGGGAGCTCTCTGGAGATTCTGGCAGGAAAGACTGAAGACCAGGCGACTCTAGTCGGAGGTAGGAGAGCGCTTGACGAGCTGCCGGTAAACCAGACCACTACAAAGCAGCAGCAGCAGATAGAGAAGTGTGATCCGAGGTATTTTGATTGAAGGTACTTGGTCAAACTTTTACTGATGGTGGTCTAGGCAAGAACCAAGGATGAACATGTCTCGAGAAAGTCATACAGCTTCGTATGCAGACAACATTCAACAAGAGATCAAACTGTACTACCTTCGCTCAACCTTTGAAAGTGCTCCCGAACGGAATATTAGAGATCAGCTCTCGGCAACGAGGTTCCTCTATGGTGCAAATATACAAAGTACGCATTTAGTACCAACACAACATTGTCTAGGCAGTCCTAATGTCAAACCAGATGTCAACCTGTCATTTGACTTCTCTCAAGGTCCATTGACCATATCACAAGACTCATTCGAAGACAGCTACCGTCATATGGTCTTCGACGAAGTCCTGCGATACGTATCGTTCCGACCTGTGCTATTGCAAAAGCCTCCTGGGCCTGCTCCAGGTTCAACGCTAGCGAAAAAGCTAGCTCAAACCATGAAAGAGGATCAAGGCCCGAATGATCTCGTCTTCTTCTTCAACTGGCTCTATTGTAAAAATGTGAGGCACATTCTCAAGGTTGTTGTTCATGATACAGAAGATGCGCCCCACACAGATAAGGCTATCGCCGATTGCCTCAGCAGGTTCGAAATAGAGACGTTGTCATGGCGAAAGGTCGATTTGAGTTCTCAGACGCTATTCAATGCTTGCCGGGGTTTAAAAGAAGTTTATCTTCGATGGAGCGGGAATCCATCTATCTTGACGGACTGGACTGAGCAGGATGGCCTTCTACGATTGGAGAAGCTCGAATGTGTTCATCTGGTATGGAATAAGGAAGAGGTAATTCTACCGCCCTGATGATTCTACTCACCTTTTCTGACCATCTTCAGGGTCCGGAAGCATTTCACAAAGTTACTTCCGCAGTGGAATATCTTCAATCAAGGCTCAACCAGGCAGTGGAAGAAATCAATGCTGCTAGAAGGACTAACACCAAGAACAGCAACCTAGCTCAGCCTCGCAAACCAATTGTTGTCAGGAAAAGTGAAATTGGTGTTTCAACAAGCAAGCGACTCAAAGATACGGCCAGCCTAGCTAACATGTCAATCGGCCTACGAAAGAGAAGAATACAGCCCAATCGGTGGTTGGATTGCATAGACAGATTTGCGGACGAGCTTCAAAATGTCAAGGTGCCCGTAACAGATACGCTTGTGCTGAAGGAAAATATCAAGGTGGCTGTCATTGATGATGGAGTCGATATTCACATCGAGTCCCTTCAAGGGAAGGTCATCGGAGGCGAATCATTTGACCGCACATACCTTGATGGCAACGGGACCAGTCCATATTACATATCCGGTGGTGGCCACGGGACGATGATGGCTGATATGATCTGCAGAGTTTGTCCGACGGCCAGATTGTATGTCTGCAAACTTGAGATGCATCCGGGCCCTGAGGGTGGTGGTGGTAGGCAAATCTCAGCGAAAGTGCTGCACTGGTGAGTCCTTACAAGTGCTGCCTTTGACCTACCTAAGACTAGCCTAACAATTACCCCAGGCCGTAATGGCAGCGGTCCGCCAGGAAGTGGACATTATCTCCATGTCCTGGACGATCCAAGAAACAGATGATAACCAAAGCAGCATAACTGCACTACAAGATGCAATCAGAGCTGCCTTAGATGCCAAAATCCTCCTATTCGGCGCCGCATCCGACAAAGGCGCCGTGAGCGAAATTGAATATCCCTGTTCGTTCGACAGACGCATATTCAGAATTGGAGCTTCCACAGCCGATGGCAGGGTATACGGCCCATCCGGCAACCCGCAGCACCTGAGCTTCATCTTCCCCGGACATAAGATATCCCCGCGGAGCCCTTATCTTGAGAAGGGACTGCCTATTGATTCAGAGGAAAAGTCTGGCTCGTCAATCTCTACCGCCCTAGCAGCAGGACTTGCAGCCCTAGTTCTGCATTGTATCCGGCTTGGAGTGATCCAAGCGGAGATGGAGACTAGACTGACGGGTAGATGCTCGTCGACGGCGGTGTGGCTTTCAGATATGGAGAAAGCCAGGAACTTTTATGGGATGCGCAGTATATTTCGGGGAATGGGCTTGAATGAGGATAATCAGAGGTATATTGAGGTGTGGAAGCGGCTTGATGGGCCGGCTAGGAGGTTAAGGTCGCCTGGTGGTGAAAGTGTCGATATGACGGGGTTGGAGATTATTGCTGGACTGGCTCGCGATCTTGTTTCGGGGATTGCAGATCGGTAATGTGAATACTATTGGATCATCTGGAAGATAGAATGACGAGTATGTACCTATATAGTATATATAGTTATCACAATTTAATGAACGTAGATATGCAGCCTAGAACAGAGCTGTTCTCTACTGGAGCTGCCAGTAAAATAAGCCTTCAATTGATCTGGGGTGATGGGGCCGTTTCTCTAGTACAATGCAAGCGGTGTTCCGGCTCTAAATCAGATGTAGTGCGGTTTCTTAAATTCTATTATCTAGTTCTGGGAAAATGACAGGCCCAGGACAGAAACACATTGATATATGTAGAACCTGGGTATTTGATCTTTTAGTATATTCCTCTAACGCTGGCTAATACATGGTCGACGGTCTCCGCTCCTTTATGACAGAGACTCATACAGGTGTACTTGACTCGACCAGCAAGCATGTACCGATGCATTGCAATTCTCCCACATGTCTAGGAGAAAAAGTAAAGCACTCGGCTATCGCGGTTACAAGGAAGAGTATATAATGTACAGAAGCTTCAGTGGCGAGGAGCATGCGTGCATGCATGGACCGGGTGAATACGCAGCAGTGTGGAGAGTCACAGACCGGCCACTAGCTCCTTTGTCAGGTCGGGTAGATTTGGAGATTTATACTTTGATGCAACACCATATTTCACCAGCTGACCGTGGATGTCGAAGTTTATCAGACCTGTGCCTCTCCCAGAATCCGGGATCGCCCTAGTACCTGGCCAGCGACGAAAAAGAGGGATGGAGGAATGAAGGGGAGGGGGCAATTGACGGCAGTGCATCTGCATCGAGGATCTGCCACCTACACCCTCTGAATATCACAGCTATTATTGGCAAGACGATGGATGAGCGTTGACCGTTGATCGGGCCCTGTACCAATAAGTTGGAAGATCAGGGTGCCTGGGGCTGGCGTGCGGGATTGATTGGCGGCGAGTGGCTCCGGGAGCCCACGGCGTGCGGGCACATGCACCCTTGATTGGTCTACCCGAACTATACGCAGATGCATCCATACATTGAAGCTCTGCAACTCTCCTCTTCATCCTTTGCTAACGAGTGTCTCCTACTGCAATTCGGTGCCAGCTGGTCTCCAAGAACCACCCGGAGATCCTTCCTCCACCTCTTCCCGCGAGCCATTCACTCTTTTACCACGGACAGCCAATGCAGCTTATCATCCCCGGACCATGTGTCCCCCTGATAGGGCATCGCGCTGCGCTCATGTCTTTTTTAGAATTCAACTCGGACCAGGAGGGGCTGTCGCAAGTGGGGCGTGCATCCCAAAGATGTGGCCAACTTCTCCCGCATTGCTCTGTTGGTGCTGCAGAGCAATTGATTCAAGAAGCCGCCCGTCCTCGCAATTCGCGAGGCAGGAGATCTGCTTCTCATCTGTCCTTCTTTCGACAGGAGGCTTCAATTCTATCCCATTACAACCTTTTGTGCCCTCATGTCTTCCAGCAGCGCGACCGGTCCCTTCTGGGGCCGATTGAACTGGCTGCATGTCTACATTGCCGGCACCGCGTTCGCGGTCTGCGCGTTCGTCGCAGTGGTCATGATGTTGTCGTCACAGAAGCGCAAAATTGACTACAATAGCGGTGTCTTCACCTATCTCAAGTTCGCATACGCGACATTCCTCAAACCCCACGAGAAGCACGGAAATGGTCAACAGGATGCTCTCGAGAGCTTCTACAAGACGCAGGTATGCCAGATGACCGCCAATCGACGGCCTAGTTCCATTTTCTGACAGAAACGGACATAGGCTGGCGTCTACGATGCCACTCGCAAACGTTTGTTGCGCGGTCGAGAGGATATGCTGGGTCTGGTTGCAGCCCAACTGAAGCACAAGGTCGAGAACAAGCAGCTTCAGTCTGGCAAGGCTGTCTGGGTTGATGTAAGTATCACCTATGCAGTCTTACCGGGTGATGAGCATTGACTGATTATGTAGATTGGCGGAGGCACTGGGTGAGCAATCTCGAGGACACAACATCCAACCGACCCCTAACCACTATTAGATACAACATTGAAGCCATGTCTGCTTTCCTACCCGTCAAGGATTTCTTCTCCCGCGTTTATCTGGTAGATCTATCACCCTCGCTCTGTGAGGTGGCCCGCCAGCGCTTCGAAAGGCTGGGATGGAAGAACGTCCACGTTGTCTGCCAGGATGCTCGCTCCTTCCGTTTACCGGAGGATGACAAGGTCGACCCCCGTAACGAGAGCAGCGCCGGTGCCGACTTGGCAACAATGAGCTATAGCCTGTCTATGATTCCAGGTTGGTGCACTTAGTGACATATCAAAGAGTGGAGCTTATATGATGCAGACTACTACAGTGTCATCGACGCGCTACCTGCACTCTTGAAGCCTACTGGCGTTCTCGGAGTTTGTGACTTCTATGGTAAGTCTGGTAAAATCTGTCGACGCAATATTCCTAACCCCCGATAGTCCAAAGCATTGTTGATGTCTCGTCGCGTAACTACACTGGCGGTGCCTTCAACCGACATGTGAACTGGCTCGGTCGTGTCTTCTGGCGTGCCTGGTTCGACGTGGACCGGGTCAGCTTGGAGGCAGCCCGCCGTGACTACCTGGAGTACCGATTCGGAACCGTCATCTCTGCCAGCGAGAGAAACTACCTTTTGGGTGGTATCCCATACTACATCTTTGTCGGTTGCCAGAAAGATTCGACCACCCACTCAGGTCGCGAAGCCATCGAGAAGTTGAATGCTTCGTTCACAGAGTCGCCGTACCTCTCTCCCGCCAACCATCGCAAGGAGATGGAGACTGCTGTTGTGAATAGCACTCAGGAAATCAGATCCAAGGCCTATGAGTCGGCTGTGATCAATCTGAGCGCGAACCTGCCTCTCCCTTCGTCCTTTTACCAGAATCACCACCACCGTATCTTCTACAATGACCTCCTCCCCAAGCACACTCAGTTCGGAAACGAGTATATTTATGCTTTCAACTGGGAAGACCCCCGCGTTGACCACCGCCTGCTGGACATCAAGCGAGACGATGTCATTCTGGCCATCACCAGCGCCGGTGACAACATTCTTGACTACCTTCAGAAGAGCCCGCGTCGTGTCCATGCGGTTGACTTGAACCCAAATCAGAACCACCTTCTGGAACTCAAGGTGGCTAGCTTCATGGCTCTGGGCCACCGCGATGTGTGGAAGATCTTCGGTGAAGGAAAGCATCCCGAGTTCCGCAACCTACTCATCTCCCGACTGAGCCCACACTTGTCTAGTCAAGCCTTCCAGTACTGGCTGGAGCATACCCATATCTTCACTTCCTCTTCTGGTAAGGGACTCTACGAGACGGGTGGATCGCGCCACGCTATCAAGATGGTCCGCTACCTCTTCAAGGTCTTCGGCCTGGAAAGCCAGGTACGACAGCTCTGTGAGGCCCAGACCTTGGCAGAACAGCGCAAGATCTGGCCTCGAATCCGTTCCGTCCTGATGAGCAAGCCTCTTCACTGGGCGGTGGTGGGAACGGAATGGTTCGCATGGAAGGCCGCAGGCGTGCCTCGCAACCAGCGTAACATGATTATCGATGACTACTTCAAGAGAAACGGTTTGAACAAGGACATGAAGCAGGCGAAGGATGTCAGCGGCAAGTCGATCTGGGAGTACGTGGTGGACACCTTGGATCCGGTGGTCCAGGACACTCTGATCAGCAATGACAACTACTTTTACTTTCTCTGCTTGCAGGGACAGTTTTCACGGAGGTAAGTCTTACACAGCTGACCTGCCCCGAAAGCAAGTTAACAGTAAAAGGTGCCATCCCGCATACCTCTCCCCTAAAGCCCATGTGAAGCTCTCCTCGCCTGGCGCATTCGACGGTCTCCGCATCCACACAGACGAGATCAACGAGGTAATCAAGCGGATCAAGCCGCGCAGCCTGACTATCGCTGTGGTATGTTCCTACATCAACCCTCACAAATACATTCAAACTGACGGACCAAATAGGTCATGGACTCCATGGACTGGTTCGACCCGGAAGGCGAAGAAGCCTCCATCCAAGCACAGAAGCTCAACCACGCCTTGAAGATGGGTGGCCGGATACTACTCCGTTCCGCGAGCATCGAGCCATGGTATATCCAACATTTCGAGCAGAACGGTTTCTCCGCACGCCGCGTTGGCGCCAGATTCCCGGGCACTTGCATTGATCGGTGAGCATCCTAATATTTGAAATCATACCACATCAACAACTATACTAACGTGAAAACAGTGTGAACATGTACGCCTCCACCTGGATCTGCACCAAGACGCAAGAACTCGAACGTCCAGCACCTAGTCGCGCCATGTCTGCTCTGTCATTGGACAACATCACCCCGAAGAGAAACAGCGTAGAGCATCTTGAGATATGATTTTACTTTTTTCCCCCTCAAATATTAATGTTGCTATGTTTCTTCCATACCTATTTTGATTGACACTTACTGCCTTGATGGCATTGTAAACATTGCTTTCCTCCATATCTCCTATTGCCTCTATCTTTTACCCTTTGATTTTTTTGTTTCAACTCTATGCACATAGTCAAAAGTCTAGAATAGACAATGAACTCTACCTGTATGCCACAAGTAACTCCTACTTACTTCACATCACACATTGTATGACTCAGTAAAGACTATGGCCCTTCTGCAACCTGAAGGACTACTAAGAGATAAGAGACGGAAACCTCAGGTTCTGCCTCCCTCTGCTACCATATAGTACTCACTTCCCAACCAATCAAACCCGACCAATTACTACCACCACCACCTCAGTATCAGTCAAGTTCCTATCTAGAACATACATACATACTACACCCTGGGATGCTGTTCTCTATCCTAGAAGATACTATAAAGTAATAACAGTTTTATCTATTCGTCATACACAATACTAGTAAATCGACACAGAATACACGGAAGATGAGCTAAAGTTCTAATATAGCACAGGGAAGTAGAAGCAGGTAAAAGCAAGAAATAATAAGGGAATAATAAGCATAAACGGCATTGACTTAATTCTGTACACATTGAATAGTAGGAAGATACTGGTATAACATCCCGGTAGTATGGTTTCATAGAGTCAGTTTCACACAGACAGACACACATACACACAAGGGCCACACGAGGTCACACTCGAAAGATCATCATGAAGAGGAGAGAGAAGAGAAGGAAACAGCGAAAATTAAAGGGGGTGTAAGGTAGTTATTGTGCTTGTTTGTCTTGTCCATTGTCCTCATGTGTCTACCAACAACCTGTTCTGGCATGAAGGAGAGTACATGGGGTAAGGCATAGACAGGAAAAGGGAGAAGTATCCCGGACGGTCCACATCTTATTCATCAATAATATATAGACGTACTAGGGTAAGCCGTCAGAGAAGAGCACAAAGCCAAGCATCGCATAGCATGACATGACGAATTTCATCATCAAATCACACCACATCATCGTCTCGTCTCATCACATCTCATTGCAATCTGCCGTGACTCATTTATCCAGGCAGACGAAAAGATATATCTATTTTTCTTTTTGTGTGTTTGTGTCGCTTTTATGACCGACCGTACCGCGTCTTACCGAACGAGAACGGCACATAGCGGTACTTGATCATGTGCTGGATCTGGCGGCGCACTAGTAAGGTTGATTCGGGTTAGCCTTTCCACCAATTTCGCCTCCCACCAAAGATAAGCAGAATTTGGTATACTCACTGGTCAACACAAACAGAATAATCCAGTAAACCACCAAGACAGGCCAGAACACCGGGATATCGAAGACGGCGAACCACGAGCACACGAAGCCGATAGCAATGGCGCGAGTGGCCGAGTGCCAGAACTTGAATTCGGGGAGACGGCGGATGAAAGGACGGAACTCGTCGTCTTGCTTCATGGGCAGGCTGGGAGCGGCGGCGTCGCCGTCTTCCAGACCCTCATCCTGCGTCAGGGATGGGTCGAACTTGGGTTGCAGGAAGAGGAGGAAGAGGTTGAGCAGGTAGATGCCGAGGGTGTAGGCTACGATGTACCATCCCTGGGCGAGGACGATTCTCAGGAAGAAGATGAGGAGTAGGACGACGGTGCCGGTCCAGCGGTAGGCTGTGAATGGGGTGGAGGCGTCGAGGTAGGTTTGGTATTGCTGTGTGAGGTAGTAGTTAGCTTATCATGTCATGTCATGGTCCGTGGGTAGGAGTTGTTTGTTGGGGTAGCGGATGGGCATGTCGTCTGCGCTGGGTGCAGGATTGCGACAGGTATTGCGAAAACCAGATCAGAGAGACTATATGCACATACCCTAGCCAGCTTCGAGGTTTGCGCCGTCACGGCCGTGAAAGGCGTCTGCTCAGGCTCAGGAACGTCCATGGTGGAAATGTGGATGTGGCTATCTATCGCGTAGCAAGAAGAAGAGAGGAGAGTGTGGAGAGAGAGAGAGGAGACGAAAAAGTGGACAAGAAGGCACCCAGCAGACTCAGCGCATAGGGCACAAAGACAGCACCGAGCACGGACAGAAAGCAATGGATTAGGAATGCGAAAGTGCTTCAGCTGATGAAGGTGAAGGACAGCAGCCCAGCCAGCCAGCAGCTGCTCGCGGGAAAACTGGCCACTGCCCGGCTGCACCCGCTAAGCCCGTTTTGGGTGAACACCAGCCACTGTCATGATGACTGCGCCTCAGAGGCCGCTGACTCAGAAATAGCTATCACGTGCAAAAGCTGTCACGGCTATTGCCGGGGTTAACTCGGCGGGATTTGCGGGGAGCTGCTACTATCATCATCATATCCCCCTTCCCTTTCCCCGACTGTTTCTCTCGACCACATCTGCAATTGATCTCTTCACACATCTCTCTCCTCTCATATACTAGATAATCAGTAATTGAACTCAATATGTTCTCCCGCCAGTGCTCCCGTCTCGTCTCCTCCCGCACCGCCATCCCTCTGACTTCCTTTCTTGCCCGCGGCCGTCCGTTCTCCGCAACCGCAACCTCGGCATATGAGCACATCCTCACCTCGACTCCCAAGCCGGGAGTAGGACTGAGTATGCCCTTTCCCCAGTCCCTTTCAAACAATAGCATTAGCAACAAGCATGAGTTTAATTCAATGCTAATCACAACCTCAACCGAAATGCAACAGTTACCCTCAACCGCCCCAAAGCCCTCAACGCGCTCTCCAGCCCACTCTTCGAAGAACTCAACGATGCCCTAACCACCTACGACACGGACAAGGACATCGGTGCGATCGTGATCACCGGCAGTGAGAAAGCCTTCGCAGGTGCGCCACTACCCTCCCAATAACACAATCAACACACCACTAACCCATATATGATGTAATGATACAGCCGGCGCCGACATCAAAGAAATGGCCCCCCTAACCTTCTCCTCCGCATACAGCAACAATTTCATCGCCCCGTGGTCGCACCTCGCCAACGCAATCCGCAAGCCCGTCATCGCCGCCGTCTCCGGCTACGCCCTGGGTGGCGGTTGCGAACTCGCCCTCATGTGCGACATCATCTACTGCACGTCGACCGCGACCTTCGGACAGCCTGAGATCAAATTGGGGGTAATCCCTGGAGCGGGCGGGTCGCAGCGGCTCACCAAGGCCGTGGGGAAGAGTAAGGCCATGGAGTTGATTCTGACGGGGAAGAACTTCAGTGGAAAGGAGGCGGGTGAGTGGGGGGTTGCGGCGAGAGTGGTGGAGGGGGGTAAGGATGAGGTGGTGAATGTTGCGGTTGAGACGGCGGAGACGATTGCGGGTTATTCGAGGGTTGCGGTGGTGGCGGGTAAGGAGGTGGTGAATAAGGGATATGAGGTTGGGTTGAGGGAGGGGGTGGAGTTTGAGAGGAGGTTGTTTCATGGGTTGTTTGGGAGTAGGGATCAGAAGATTGGTGAGTTTGCTTCTTTCTTTTCTTTGGAAGGTGGTTGATGCTGACGGTGGTAGGCATGACGGCGTTTGCGGAGAAGAAGAAGCCGGAGTGGTCGAATGAGTAAGTGGATTGGATAGTATGATGGGTTGGTCTTGGAGATGTCATGAGGAACCTGCCAATTGTCAAAGTAGTAACATCAAGCCCACCTAACGACTCAGTAAGCATGAGAATGAATCATTAATCGTCTATGTTCATTATTAGCGGTCTCTATGTACATTATTATATTAATTGTTATTACAAAAGGAGCGTCATTCATCATTGCGGTGAAGTTGAAGTCGCATTCGGATTCGAGTTCGAATTCTCCTTCCCAACGGCCGCCACATCGGCCGCCACTGTCTTCTCCGTCTGATAGTGATCGACCGTCCCATGCTCCATGGTCTCGTCAAACACATCGACTTGGGTCTGGGCGAACTTGCGCGCACTGACCCCCCGCTCGAAGAGGAGATCGAGTTCGGCGAACGACCGTCCGTTAGGCTCCGGGACCCGGAAAAACGTGTACACGATGCAAAGGAAGCAGATGCCGCCCCAGAAGAAGCCGGCATAGTTGCCCCAGTCCCATGCGCCCGGGTTCAGCATGTACGGGGTCAGGACACCGCAGACGATGGCGACGATGTTGTACAGGTTGCGGCCGAGCACGACCGTCTTGATCTGGAGGCGGCGGGTGGAGAGCTCGGCGACAAGGGAGTAGGCGACCGTGCCGACGGTCAATTGATAAAAGAGCGCCCAGATGATCATCATGCAGCCGGTTGCCAGGGCGGCCTGAGTTTTGTGCTCCTCGGGCACTAGGCCAAGGAATCCCATGACGAGCAACATGACGCACAGCCCGCAGAGGCCGTACAGGTAGAGTGTTCTCCGGCCCAGGCCGATGGACATGAGGAACCAGGCTCCGAAGACGCCGACCATGTTGATTCCGTACTGGCCCATGGCGAACGCATAGGCATTGTCGGTGCTCAGGCCTGCCTGTTCAAGAAAGTAGGTCGAATAGTTGGAGAAAGAGTTGCCGCTCAGGTTTTGAATCGCCCACACCATGCAGACAATCTCGGTCCGGCGCAGGTCGGTGCCTTTGAAACAGTCCAGGTAGCTGGCGCCGGTGGTGATCTTGTTCTCCAGGGATGTCGTATGAACCATCATCGAGATGGTCTCGTCGGCGTCGAAGTTAGTCTCTCGCTTCACGCTCGTCAATCGCAGCAGGGCTTTCTTGGCTTGTTGGATCTTGCCCTTCCGGACCAACCACCATGGGGATTCTGGTGCGAGAGAAATCCCGATGAAGAGGGGCAATGGCCACATCCACTGCAGTCCATATGGAATCCGGTACGCCCATTGGTCATCCCGATTGATCATACCCTTGATCACACCGATACCGATCAGTTGTCCCAATCCCCAGCAGAAATTGACGTAGGTCGTGAGGTATCCACGCAGCGCCACCGGACACACCTCCGACGCATAGGTGACAGTCAATGTCTGAAACACTCCCCAGGGAATACCGGCCAGAATTTCCGCAGCCAGCAGCGCCTGGACGTTCGGGGCGGTGAAGAAGATGGCAGTCCACGCCGTGATCAAAACGAGACAAGCCATGATAGTATAACGATATCCGAAGCGTTCCGAGGCCCAGCCATTGATGAAGAGGCCGATGATTTCTCCGACGTAGGCACCATTACTCAAACCCGATTGCCACTGCATTGGAGACGTTTTGTTAGCCAATTGTGTCACGCGAGCACTGCATGGCGTGCGGGATGATGGTGCAATTGCACGTATGTCCCAGGGACATAGAGGGGAGGGAGTCAATTACCCGTGCTGGCACCTGATATGTTCCATCCGCCGACAACTCGCCGTATTTTCGGTTGAATTGAGGGAAAGCGTAGAAGTTGTTGACAAGACTGATATCGTAGCCTTCCATGACGATGCAGGTGGAAATAAGGATACTCCAGGCAACGGCCTTGGGATAGAGTTTGACGCCCTGGAGCAGGGTCATCTTCTGCTCCTTGTCCGTGGCCGCTTTGGCATTCTGGATGATCTTGGCTGCGGACGCCATGGAATCCTGGCGATCGGTGGAGGGCGATGGCGGCTGCTCTGCCGGGGCAATGGCATCCGGAACCTTGGGGGAAGCCATGCTGGCGAGCAATTGCAGGCAATCCCGGGGGAGGGAGAAAAGGGTGAAAGGGGGAGGGGAGGGGGAGAGGAGGTGAAGAGGACAGAGGAGGGAGGGAAGAGGGAGGAGACGGACAATCAATCACTGGAGGGCAGCAGGAAAATCAGGGACGTTCCGGACCGGAGCGCATTAGTAGCGGGACGGCCATCGTTAGATTTTTATGCTGGCGGCGGGGCCGGCGGTGGTGAGCATACTCAGCATAGTGCGCCCCCCACCGACTGCAGGAACCGGTTTGGTGTCATTTGCTTGCGTGCAATAGTGTCTGACTCGTATTCTTGATTTCGGATCGAATCATTTGGTTTGCAATAGATCTGGCTGACACAAATTCCCAGGCAAGAATTAAACTCCGACTAAAGCCAAGCCAAGTCTCATTTTACGCCGGGATCCGACACGAGGGGTTTGCGGGGAAAAATAAGGGACGGCATGCCCCTCCGCCAATTATTGTCCACAAGAAGCAGAAAAATACACACAAAGTTAATAGGATATCATGGTTCAACTCAACTGAAAAAAAGGAAGTCAACGTGTAGTTGATCACTGTACAAAAGTAGTATAATCGATCGAAGTATGCACGTTAATATGCATCGTCTGCAGGTGCCTCGTGGCAGAAAATGCAAGCCAAAAATCTCCGATAAGCTTGATCCCGTAGGATCCGCCTCGATCTCCGATTCTTCCTGTCCATTTCCAAATCCGGCATGTGGATGAAGCTTGGCCACGCTGACTTTCTTCTTAATCTATGCGTATATGCATGAAATCACGCCACGAAGGATCACTTCTTGGTTTAACCCCGATCTAATATTTATCTAATGGCCAACAGATTCAGCACCGTTGAGCACATGGCGTATATGCAAATACCCGATCATGACCCTACAGGATCACATGTTACCTGTGTAGCTTGATTGGTCCTCTTCCGGTTACCTACACGTCCAATGGTCGGGGTTAGTTGGTCAATGCGATATACGCGGCTCCATCCAGGTTCAGATAGGACACTACTAGTACTGTACCTACTGCTTAGATCAAAGTTGGTTGTGCGAAGCAAGACGCACTGCATTTGTCTGATCATGATCAAAAATCTGGATTCCCACGGACTATTGATTCGTTGTGAAATAATACATATCCTTTCAGACATACTAAGCCTGTGCATAGTGCGTGTCTTCTGGGTCATCTCATATGAGTTTAGAACGATGCGAGCTAAGTGATATGATGATACACAGTAGCTCTCAAATGTTACTACTATGTTTGGTCTGACGTTGCCTCCTTTTTCTTTTTCTCATACTCATACTATACTGCAACTATGTACTAGCTGAGTGATCAAATCCAACATGTCCGGTAGACTTAGTAGTAGATCATTGGTTCACAAGACATAAGAGTATCCGCAATATATAAATGAGTTTGGATATGTCCTTGGCTACTATCAAGCGTCACAGCTTATGCTCAGATACTAAATCTTGAAAATCTTGTTAAAAAACAGTGCCTGGCTCGTCTGGACATCATAAATTCTAAGCACTAGTAAGTACTTCGACCAGATATTCATTCTCTTTGAATAGTGGCTGATCGCCTGCCATGTCTGCCCAGGGTAGAAAGTAGTCGTCACAAAGAATGTGCCTCTCCGTAATCAAGTTCCCATCCAAGTGAGATCCCTATTTTACGGTTCTATATACACCTTGACTGTTTTCTTGTCCGAGATAGTCGAGATAGGGGAGGCTCAATAGTCTTGGGCATTGGCGATAAGAAGGAAGGTGACTTAGCAGTAAGTCATGAATGAATAAGCCTGAAATTAGAGCCGTATGGGGGCGCCTTGACAAGATCAGGTAATAAGTAGTACAGCAAATACTGTAATTAAGTAGAGCTACGTTCTCGAAGCTCTCTTAGATGACTGGCTCATTGTTGCATTTCCTCCAATCCTGCCGAGAGGCGCGATATAGACCAAGCCGCTTTTGATCGCCAGTACTTACTGACAGACCCCTGATTTCCCATTTCTGACTGTCAAGGAGTAAACACACGGAGATATCTTCCATCTTAGTTACTATACACCTGGTAAGATCTGTTCTTTCCAGGATTTCAACTGGTCATAGGAAGAAACACAAAGTTCCATTAGTAACACTACGGCTAGCTGTTCTCAGCTGTCTCACTATAATCTTACTGTGGCTGTACATCCCGGACACCTGCATAACTTTTAGTAAAATCTAATGATGATCTGCAATCCCAAGACCCTGATTAACCAGATATAGTTTGGATGACAAGAGCTCTCAGCCTTACCCCGCGTGTTAGCAGCCTTGTCGCGCCTATGAAACAGTGAGATTCAGCACAAAGGATCGGGCCTACTCGGTGCCCTAACTAGGCCACTTACTTTATCCTCTAGCACCAACATCCCTCGTGAGGCTACACGATTCAGATTGGACATGTGGGATGATCGACATGCGTGAGCTGACAGAAGTCCATTTACCCAGTACCCTCCTTTTCGGCCAGTCTGACAGTGCTAGACGTAAGTGTGCGTCGGGTTTCATTTCCCAGCGCTAAACACCTCGTAGCCAGCCTTTCCATTTTTTAACAGATTAATGCCAAAATCTCTGCGAATACACCTTGTTCTTCATTCTAGAGCAGCGAATACTTATACTCACCTGTGCGAATGGATTTACCAGCATAGCGTAATTGCGTCATGTTCACAATTAATCCGTTTGTCCAGGTGGACAAGGCAGTTGTGATGGTTTCTCTTGCCCTTCTCACGCAACTATTGTCACACCACTCATTCACACAATGCGCTGAAATAGGCTCCGAAATGGTGGCATGGGCAACACTGCCCATATTATTTAGACTGAGTTCTATATATCACCAGTTTTCAATATATACCATTAAACAGGACCCTAGTCAGGCGAGAGCTGGATCTTTGCGTTCAACACACCTCTGGTTGATTTCAGTCGGCGTATGCATATATTCTTGGTTCAAATCAGAAATTGGGGTCCTACAAAGTTTTGTGCGTCAGGCAAGCACTCTCAACGAGAAACATTACTGATGTGACACCAGCCGATTTTATTTCCAGTACTGCTGATATCAGGAAAGATGTTCCAGCTCCGCACACACAGTTCGATAGGAAGGAGCTCTTTCTCCTTTCTGACGGAAA